ATGCGCACCATGCCAGTATTTTTCTATATATATTAGTGGCCAATTAATTTCTTTTTATTTATAGTAGAGATGGGTCTCGCTCTTGCTCAGGGGTGGTTGAATCCTGACTCGAGCAATCCCCTGCTCGGCCTCAGGAGTGGCTAGGTTACAGGCGTGAGCCACCGTGCCCGGCCACAATTGTCTTTTTGCAGATTACATGATCTTATATATAAAAAGCCCTAAGACTCTAATAAAAAAATTTATTAGCATGAAGGGATTCAGTAAATTTGCAGGATATAAAATCAACATAAAGAATCAGTTGCATTCCTATACACTAACAACAAACTATCTGGAAAGGAAATCAACATAACAATTCCATTGAAAATAGGTAAAAAGAATAAATTTAACCAAGGAGGTGAAAGAACTTTTTGGCTGGACTGCCTAACCACTGATGGAATAGATAAAAAAGGACACAGGACAGCGCGAAGTGGCTCACACCTATAATCCTAGCACTCTGGGGCCAAGGAGGCAGAATCTTTTGAGCTTCAGAAGTCAAGAGACCGCCTAGCAAGGCGAGGACCCGTCTCTACTAAAAATGATAGAGAGCTGAAAACTTAAAAATAGATAGAAAAAATTAGCCAGCATGGTGGTGGATGCTGTAGCCCTCCGGCTTACCTGGAGGCTGTGGCAGGGAGGATTGCTTGAGGGGGCCTGGGAGTTTGAGTTGCTGTTGAGGAGCCTGACGGCATGGAAACTCGTAGGCTGGGCAAAGTGAGGATCTGTCTCAAAAAAAAAAAAAAAAAAAAAAATAGAAAATCCTGTGCTATGATTGAATTACTAAATGTTCACATCCCAAAGCAATCTGCAGATTCAGTGCAATCGCTATCGAAATCCAATGGCATTTTTCATAGAAATAGGAAAAATCCAACATTTCATATGGGTCCACCCCCAAATAAGCCGTGATCCTCAGACAGAACAAGGTTGAAAGCATCCCACAGTGTACATAACCCTCGTATACTGTTGATGAGAATGTAATTTTTTTTTTTTTTAGACAGTCTCACTCTGTTGCCCAGGCTAGAGTGAGTGCCATGGCGTCAGCCTAGCTCACAGCAACCTCAAACTCCTGGGCTAGAGAGATCCTACTGCCTCAGCCTCCCGAGTAGCTGGGACTACAGGCATGCACCACCGTGCTCGGCAAAATTTTTCTATATCTATTAGTCGGCCAATTAATTTCTTTCTATTTATAGTAGAGACCAGGTCTCGCCCTTGCTCAGGCTGGTCTCCAACTCCTGACCTTGAGCGATCCACCCGCCTTGGCCTCCCAGAGTGCTAGGATTACAGGCGTGAGCCATCGCGCCTGGGGGAATGTAAATTAATACAGCCATTAGGGAAAACTGTATGGCAGTTCCTCAAAACATTAAAAATAGAACTACCATACGATTCAGCAATCCCACTTCTGGGTGTATTTCCCAAAGAAATGCAATCACTATCTCAAAGAGGTATACGCACTCCCATGTTCATTGCAGCATTATTCACAATAGCCAAGATATGGAAACAACCTAAACATCCACACACACACACACACACCCCAGAATATCATTTAGCCTTAAAAAAGGAAATTCTGCCGTTTCCAACATGGATGAACCTGGAGGACATTATGCTGTGAAATACGTCAGTCACAGAAAGACAAATACTGCACAGGTTGGGCACAGTGGCTCACGCCTGTAATCCTAGCACTCTGGGAGGCCGAGGCAGGCGGATTGCTCGAGGTCAGGAGTTTGAAACCAGCCTGAGCAAGAGGGAGACTCCATCTCTACTATAAATAGAAAGAAATTAATTGGCCAACTTATATAGAAAAAATTAACCGGGCATGGTGGCGCATGTCTGTAGTCTCAGCTACTCAGGAGGCTGAGGCAGGAGGATCGCTTGAACCCAGGAGTTTGAGGTTGCTGTGAGCTAAGCTGACGCCACGGCACTCACTCTAGCCTGGGCAACAAAGTGAGACTCTGTCTCAAAAAAAAAAAAAAAAGACTTGCTAAAAAAGCTTGAGGTATAGAGGCATTAATTGATTTTACAATGTGAATATTGACAGATGTACTGTTAAACATTTAAAAAATGTTTCCATATATCTGCTGAACTATCAAGGAAAAAAGGAGTCTGCTGAGTGATGAGTAGGTGAAATTGTTTTCTGAAGTAGGCACATTCCCTAAGTAAAGGTTTTTGTATGAGTTAAACCTCATTATAGACAAACTAGGGACATCAATACATAAATTGATCTTTTGCTAAGTAGCAAACTCTTACTTTGTTTCACACATTGTGCACGTTGAATATCAATGGAGTCTAAGCCAGTGTACAAATCAACCAGGTCTCATGAACTCCGTGATTTCAATGCAGCAGGTTGCCACTGCAACTCCCACCCTTAAACCACTCTGCTACTCCACTTTTTTCTTTACCCAATGGTTTCTTGAGTAGGTCGTGCCCCTTTATTTTCAGATTGACTCATATGCCAATTTTCCAGCCTTCAGTATAACGTTAGTACATGGATGTAAGTATTAGAAAAATTAACTCAACAGTGTATTAGAAATGTTTATTTAGAATAATGGCACAACTGCTTTTAACCATTTAGAAACCTAAACCTTCCTTATGTATACATATGAACACCCACCCCCCAGAGGATCTAGGGCAGTAAACTGTATGCATATTCTCACTGATCAAAGGTTATGAAAAGCCTCAGGTCAGGTCTTGCCATCAGATTTGGAAATACTTGGAATGCAGCAGGGCAGGGACTCTAGCAGGTTGTCCTGATAAACAGATAAGAATAGTAGGAACACTGGCTACTGTCATCCAACATGCCTTTTTATATACCTGAAATTTTCATAGCAACTTATTTTAAAAAGCTTTTTGAAAGTATTCTACACCTCCACTGAATCCAGAATGTGAGACAGGTGTGGGAGCATTATTAGGGACGTGGCCCAATCCTAACATTTTATATTTAATGTCCTTCACCCCTCTGAGGTGGATACTATAATAGATGCTCACAATGACATATTGTCCTGATCTAATCACAGCCTGCCTGAGGCTGTGATTCAATTTTACACATGTTGAAACTGAGGCAGAAGAATTAAGCCAGGAAACAGGGTCTAAAAAGTGATTTCTATCCAGGCGGGGTAGGAGGGGCAGGGCTTGGGATTTGACAGCCAAATTGAAAACTGGAAGTCAAAATCCAGACATTGAAAGGTGCCTGAGGCACTTTGTGTGAAAAAGATATATTAAGATCTCTGGCCAGCCTGAGCCAACAGTGAGACTCCCGTCTCTACTAAAGCTAGGAAAAGTTAGGCCAGGTATGGTGACTCACTCCTGTAATCCTAGCACTCTGGGAAGCCAAGGCAGGAGGATCATTTGAGCTCAGTAGTTCGAGAGGAACGTGAAGAACAAGACCCTGTCTCTACTAAAAATAGAAAGAAATTAGCTGGACAACTAAAAATATATATAGAAAAAATTAGCCGGGCATGGTGGTGCATGCCTGTAGTCCCAGCTACTTGGGAGGCTGAGGCAGGATTGCTTGAGCCCAGGAGTTTGAGGTTGCTGTGAGCTAGGCTGATGCCATGGCACTCTAGCCTGGGCCAAGAGCGAAACTGTCTTGAAAAAAAAAAGACAAAAAAAGACTTTTCGTATAGATAAGATCCAGGACTTGCAAATAAAACTTATTGCAGGCCATGTGTTTGGTCTTTGCAGGCCTCGGGATATACATACTCAAGGTACTTTTGAATGTTTGGTGGTTTCTATCCTCAGTGGGTTCTTGGGAATGCAAGTCCATTAGTGGGATACTGGAGACGAACCAAAGCAGGAGACTAAGAAGCACTTTTAAAGGGACTTTGGATCTCAGATCTAGAACTTTGCCGATAGGGACTACGGCACAGTAGAAAACTGTGGGTCCTCTCAGGCACTTTTCCTTTGAGCAAACACATGGCAGACTGGGCCTCCCTGGGATGATTACCACAAAATATCTTCTAAAATGAGCAGAGCATGTTGACAGATGCTATACGTCTGTGAGACTACTTAATCAGACTAAAAAGGGCCATCATCATACTACCTTACCATCCAAGTGACATACCAAAAGACTGAATCCCAACTAAGAGTGCTTTGTCACTCTTTTCAGTATCTTTATATGCCCATTCATTTAACCCCCCAAAGAAAATGTAAAATGCCCATGAGGCTGAAGTTAAATGACTCAACTAAGGTCAAATAGCTGAGAAGTAGCAGAGCCTGGACTTGAATCCTAGAATCTGAGTCGTCTAAGCTCTTAGAACCCTGTTTTCAAATCAGGTCTCTCTCATGTCCCTCACACACAAAGGTGAGTTCAGCACCTCTCCCCAACCTTCATCATTTCAGAGAAAGGCACTACTCTGACAGGGTTTAGCTCATGCCATGGGCAGGTACTGACATTCTAACAACAATCCTGTGAGAACAGTGTCCACCTAATGCTCAGAGAAGCTAAGGAAATCCAAACTCAAACACCGATTAAACAATGGACCAAGAGACCATGTCAGGACGGGCGTGGTGGCTCACGCCTATAATCCTAGCACTCTGGGAGGCTGAGGCGGGAGGATTGTTTGAGCTCAGGAGTTTGAAACCAGCCTGAGTAAGAGGGAGACCCTGTCTCTACTAAAAATAGAAAGAAATTAATTGGCCAACTTAAAATATATATACAAAAAATTAGCCGGGCATGGTGATGCATGCCTGTAGTCCCAGCTACTCGGGAGGCTGAGGCAGAAGGATTGCTTGAGCCCAGGAGTTTGAGGTTGCTGTGAGCCAGGTTGATGCCACAGCACTCTAGCCCAGGCAACAGAGTGAGACTTTCTCAAAGAAAAAAAAAAAAAAGAGACCATGTCAGGCAACCCTTACTCTTTTGACTATCTTTTCCCATCCCCCCCATTTTCCCCAAGCCTCCCTTCTCCTCCTGATCTACCTATATTTTTTATTTGCTAAGGGGGCTGAGTAAGGAAAAAGCACTATCAATGTTTTAAAGTTTCATCTTTTTAATCAGCTTAATGAATGATAACCTAAATACGTGAGACACAACAGAATATTTTTTCTTCCAGTATTTTTTAAAAAATAACATTTACAAACATTTTTAAGAAGCTCTTCTATATAAGGTTGGTTAACTTCAGTTAAAAAAAAAAACCCCAGGCAATCATGTTCCCAATACAGATTTCTCTCAGGTACATTTAGAAACTGTTTTCTAACCACAATAAACATTGTATATGTGTTTTTTGTTTTTAAAATGTCCCTAAAAAACAAAATATCCTAGATAATCACTAATTAAAAGAAAAGCCAGTCTGGCTAAGTTTGCCAGAACCAATAATCCTGAGAGCTCAAACAAAAAACTGGTAAAAGAAAAAATACCCAGACTTTACAAATGTCTCAGAATTTGCCTTTAAATGGGAGAAAAAAATATCTTAAAAAATACACAGAGCTTTCTAAAAGGTCTTTAACAAGCTACCTTGGGAGAGCAATTCAAAAATAGAAGTTGGTGTATTAAAACAGATGTTTCAGTGCAGCTCCAAAAATCTTTATAAATACAGCCATCTGGAAGGGCGATCCTGGATCAGAAGTGTTATTCCTTGTGTCTGAGAACATTAAGAAGGGGGAGAATTGTGATGTCAGGAAGGTACAGAGCAACAACATGCTTACCTCCCACAGCTGATAAAGATGCCAAGGGCTGAGCCATAGGGACACTCCATCTCCTCCATCCCACACAAGAGCAGATTATAGGATTTTAGATCCCTTCCCCCCCAATTGGACTAACTCTGATATGGACCAGAGAGCAAGGGGGATCTAGGAATAGTGTCTGGTGGGCCGGCTGGGTGAGGTACAGGAGGGCAGCAGAAATGCTGAGCAGTCTGGCCAGAAAAGGTAACAGGGACATGACACAGTTTGATAAACAGAAGTCTGCTCAGTACCAATATCCAGTCTCACCTATATTATGTGTGCATGTCTCATCTCAGTTGTCATAATTGTCTCTGTAATTTCCTCCTGAGTAGCGGTCATAACCACCCTGGCTTCTGGAGAAAATGTTTTAGAGAAATGCATCACATACCACTGATAATATTAACAACCATACAAGTCACATCTTATAATATAAACTTTAAATGCATAAAACAGAATATATTAAGTATATGATCATGTAGTAAACACAATTTTGTGGCATACGATTTAAATATTTATAGTATGTTAACTCACACTATGTTAAAGCAACATAGTTACATAATTAACCAATATAGTACAATAACATGCATTATCTACATTATATGACAATACAAGTAATTCATTATACATAATTCAAAATACTAAGTTTCATATCTGTTTTACACACATGCTAGCAACACCAAGGTATGATGCCTGTCAATACCCAGGCATATGAGTTCTTAAGGAGAGAGAAGCAATAGCAGAATTTTCCAGACCTTTCGCTACCTACCTGCCACCATAGTCTCTGGACCGTCCATATCCATATCCATATCCATATCCTCCAGGTCGACTGTCATACCTGCCACTCCCATAACCCTGGTCCCCACCACCTATGGCAGATAAACATTAAAATGGCATTTGTCCACACATAGGCCATTAATAGGTGGCTCTCCCTCTCACCCCATGACCAAACCTACCACTGTACTCACCTCTAGAGTAGCTGCGACCACGCCCATAGGACCCAAAGCCACCTCCTCTGGTTCCCCGGGCAGACTTGCCAGCATGGTCCACACGGATCTGGCGACCATCCAGGGACTAGATGTTGGAGAGAGACACAAGGAGGATGGGTTTGGCCATTAGTCAGGGCAGTGGTGAGGGAAGAGTGGGCATGGGCAGGTAGGCAAAAGAGCCCAGAAATTTCTGCTGGGCACCAAGTTCTGGGTGCCATGTTCCAGAATAAGCTCCTCTGACCAGAATGGCTTCACCAGGAGCTGTAGAATCCCACAAAATGACCTGAATCCACCATGTTTCCCCTGCTACTACTTACATCTTGACTGAACTCAGGCCGAGTTCTCCTCCCCACTCCTCTAAGCTGCCCGACTATTAGGGCTAGATAGACACCTCTCTTGGTTTGAGGCTTCAGAGTCCATCCCAGAAGACTCACGAGGTCCTCTCCGGGCCAGGCCCACAGGTCTGCAGACTCTACTACCTAAGCCCAAGGCAGGTGAACCATCCACAGGTGGCTTCTCGGCCTCATGCAGAACCAGTCGTCGCCTCCCAGGCAGCTCTGTCTGCCGCTGCCCTCCACCCCCTAGAACAGAAGGCAGTCATGCTCCTGTGAGTGGGCACTGCGGGGCTTGGTAGCCACGCTGCCCCTAGCAGACACAGAGGGAAAAACAGAAAGAATGGAGGAAGTCGCAGATGGGGGCAGGGCCCCTCTACAGATAAGAGACCTCACCTCTCCATTCATGGCTCTCATGGCATCTGAGGCATGCTCTGGGTTGGTGAAAGTGATGAAGCCAAAACCCCGGGATCGCTGAGTCTCCCGGTCCTTCACAACGACCACTGAGGAAGGGAGAGGAGATGGAGTAATGTGGATGAGTCACCACCAGAAGGGGAAAGTGGCAAGAAGCTTCCTGAAAAGGGGGTGTGTGGCAGGAGAGAACAGACCTCCCCCACCAATCCTGAAAATTATAGGATTCTTAACTTCTACACCTTGGGCTTAGGAAGGAGAGATTTCAAGTCCTGGAGTCCTGACTTTTCTCTTAATATTCCTTGAAATTCAAAGGTCCCAGACTTCGTTTCACCTCCCCCTGCCATTACAGGTCTGGTCCACGTCTTACCCTCAGAAATAGGTCCGAAGCTGCTGAAGTGGTCTTCCAACGCCTGCTCATCGGTGTTAAAGTTGAGCCCTCCCACAAAGAGCTTCCCTTCTTCAGAGGACATGGCAGCAAATTCGAGTCCTGTGGGAAGAAAACGGAGAAGGGTGGCAAAAATAGTGAGGATAAGAAAGAGGTTGGAAAACTCAGAAAAAAGCGTTAAGGGATAGGGGCGAGAAGCACGGCAAATATACAAAAGAAACAGAATAAAGAGTAACTAAACAGAGACTAAAAAATAAGATCGAAAAGGCGGGAACCTCCGGGGCTGGATCCAGGCGGCCGCCATTTGGGGCCACCATCACGCATGCCCACAACATTCTCTGTCGCCACGCCCGGCATTTCGTGCCACAGCGCAAGCCCAGAACACCCTTGCGTTCCCCCTGCACCCGCAGAAAATGGCGGCGATCACGTGGAATTAAAGAGGGGCAGCAGATTATTTGCTGTCGCCTGGTCACTGTCGCTACCAACGTTGCCAGCTCCGCCCGGCACCCCTAGCAATTCGGTACAGAGCGTGCCAAACTCCTTCAAACCTCCGAGCACCAGGCCCGTCCGCCTCGGAGAAGCCTAAGACTACGTGTCCGCGGCCGTTATTCGCCCCACTCGCGCCCCCACTCACAGCCGGCGCGGCGCACGTGTGTGAGGGGAAGAGCAGCCGCTCTGCAGGGCATACGCTGCTTACCTGGAAATTAAAAAGCAAAACGACCAGACAAACCGCGAGCACCGACGAGCAGGGAGAACAGGGAGGCTGCAGCGCGGGAAGACGACTGATAAAGCCTACGTAGCGTATACGTCATGGAACGTGCCCCCCTGCGAGCGGCGGCGTGCGTGATGATTGGCTGAGACCGCGGGGGCGGGGCTTCGACGACAGTAAGGGACTGTAGAGCAAAGGCAGGAAAGCTTTCTACACGCTTCCCAGAACGGAGGTAATTTTTGTGCGATAGATATACCCTAACGTAAACCATTCCCCCCAACCAGCCGAGCAGTCTTTGTCCCTTCCGCACAGGAACCTTTTCACTCTCATACTCTTTTCGGTCCCTAACATCACTCTCTCGCTCTTAATGTCCTTTCCCCCATTGGATTTGATCCCCCATGACTTCCTCACCGTCACAGTGTCTTCCTCTAAGTCCCTGCCGACTTAATTACCATCCTCTGATGTCAACCTACTTCACATTCTAGTTCTTTAATCTGGCCAGGCGCAGTGGCTCATGTCTGTAATCCTAGCACTCTAGTGAGGCTGAGGCAGGAGGATTACTTGAACACAGGAGTTCGAGACCAGTCTTAAGAAGAGTGATACATGTCTATTAAAAACAGAAAAATTAGCCGGGCATGGTGGCATATGCCTGTAGTCCCAGCTACTTGGGCGGCTACGGCAGGAGAATCCCTGGAGCTCAGGGGTTTCAGGTTGCTGTGAGCTAGGCATGACATGCCATGGCACTGTACTCAGGGCAACGGAGTGAGACTCTGTCTCAAACACAAGAAATAGTCCTTTAACCTCATATCCCAAAGAGCCCGATATTTTATCCCCCTCTATTGCTGATGTCATCACCCTTCACAGAACAACTTGCATAAGATGGGAATTAATAGTACCTTGAAAGCTTGTTAGATAGGACTACAATCTGCAAAACCATCAGGATCTGAGCCCAAAGCTGTTTATTATGAGAGGAGGTGTCTCTATCATTTTTTCCTAAAATATATTGTTATATTGAAGTTTTCTATTTTTTAGTATCAATTTGAGCACATTTAAATTTTCCCAGAAACTTACGCCTTTCATTTATGTTTTCAAATATAGTAGCTTTTTTTTTTTTTTTTTGAGACAGTTGGGCTAGAGTGCAGTGGCATCATCATAACTGACTACAACTTCAAACTCCTGGGCTGTGTACAACCATGCCTGGCTAATTTTTTTTTCCTACTTTTTGTAGAGATGGGGTCTTACTCTTGCTCAGGCTGGTCTTAAACTCCTGGCCTCAAGCAATCCTCCCACCTTGGCCTCCCACAGTGCTAGGATTACAGGTGTCAGCCAATATGCTGGGCCAGCTTACAATTTTTAACCTCTTTTTGTGCCTGTAATTCTTCTCTTTGTTCTGTATTTTGCATTCTTTTAAATCAGTCTTGGCAAAGGTCTATCATTAACATTTTTAAAGAACTAGCTTTTTATTTTGTTAATCTTTATTATTACTTTTTAATTCTCTATTGCACTTATTTCCTTCATTATTTCATCTATAACTCAGTTCCTCTGTTCTTTTCTCCAACTTTTTTTTTTGAGACAGAGTCTTGCTTTGTTGACCTGGGTAGAGTGCAGTGGGGTCATCATAGCTCACTGCAACCTCAAACTCCTGGGCTCAAGTGATCCTCCAGGCTCAGCCTCCCCAAGTAGCTGGGACTATAAGTGTGCGCCACGACACTCAGCTAATTTTTCTATTTTTTAGTAGACACTAATATTTCTATTCTTTTATTAGAGATGGGGTCTCATCCTTGCTCAGGCTGGTCTGGAACATTCCTGAGCTAAAGGGATCCTCCCACCTCAGCCTCCCAGACTGCGAGGACTATAGGCATGAGCCACTGCACCTTGCCTTTTCTAACTTCTTGAGTTGAAGGCTTACATCATTTGGTTTTCCACCTTTTTTTCTGATAAATATATTTAAAGCTATGCATTTTTTTGTATTAACTAATTTTGTTGTGTCTCTCAAATTTTACATGTATTGTTTTTATTAAGATTTAAATATTTGTAAAATTCCTTTATGGTTTCTTCTTTCATCCAAGGGTTATTTCATAATGTTAGTTTCCAAAAAAAAAAAAAATAGGGTTTTTAGCTTTTATTAATTGCTAATTTTACTACATATGGTTAGAGGACATACTTAATATTGATACTTTTCAATTTATTGAGGCTTCCTTTGTTCCCTAACATGGTCTACTTTTGTCATTGCTAAGTGTAAACATAAAAGGAGTCTTCTCCATTTGTTGAGGGTTATATAATGTGAGAAATATATATAGAAACATAATATATATATCTACATCACACTGAAAATGTATTATTCAAGGCTTCTTCAGAATATACGTGTTTTTTGTAGACATACCTTCCTTGTCAATGAGTATATGCTCTTCTTTGTCCTTTATGATCTTAAGTCTTCAATTCTATTTTGTTAGCTATCAGGATGGCTTTCTTAGCTTTCTTTGAGCTTTTATTAATCTGCCATATGTTCTCCATCCTTTCATTTTCAACCTTTCTAAATCTTTATATGTGTGTGTTTACTGTTGGATTTTTTTTTAATCCAATGAGGGTCTCTGTTTTATTTTATTTTATTTGAGACAGAGTCTCACTCTGTTGCCCATGCTAAAGAGCTGTGTCGTCAGCCTAGCTCACAGCAACCTCAAACTCCCGGGCTCAAGCAATCCTGCTGCCTCAGCCTCCTGAGTAGCTGGATCTACAGGCATGCACCACCATGCCCAGATAATTTTTTGTATGTATTTTTGGTTGTCCGGTTAATTTCTTTCTATTTTTAGTAGAGATGAGGTCTTGCTCTTGCTCAGGCTGGTCTTGAACTCCTGATCTCAAGCCATCCTCCCACCTCGGCCTCCTAGAGTGCTAGGATTGCAGGCATCAGCCACCATGTCCGGCCTACAGTATATTTTTTATTGTATTTTTTCTACCATCATAGTCACATCTAACATTTTTTCAGGCCCTTTTTATAATCTCTAGTTCCTGTTTTATATTCTAATATTACCTCTTATTTATTATATTTATTTAAAATATTCATCTGGCTGTCCCATTACTACTTCTGCTTCGGATGTTATGTTACCTAGTGTGGTAGCTAGCCTCTAATATGGCCCCTAGTGATCCTTGCCTCTTGGCATCACAGCCTGTATAGTCCCCTCCTATGCTGTAGCAAGGTTGGTCTTACGTGACCAATAAAACATAGCAGAAGCGATGATATGTCATTTCTGAGATTAAGTTATAGTAGACACTGTGGTTTCTGTCTTTGTCATGGTCTCTCACCTGCTTGCTCAGATCGCATATTATAAGGAGCCCTGTTGAGAAGCTCAGGTGATGAAAAACCGAAGCCTCCTGCCAACAGCCCTGTGACTGGGCCATGTCGGAAGTTGGTCCATCAGCCAAGTCAAGCCTTCAGCGGACTGCAGTCCTGGCTGATAATCCGACTGAAACCTCAGGAGAGATCCTGAGTTAACACCACTAAGCTAAGCTGCTTGCAGATTCCTGACCCTCAGAAACTGTGATATTTTAAGTGGTTAAATTTGGGGGTAATTTGTTATACAGCAATAGATAACTATAGTTAGTTGATTTTCTCTGGCATTGTCCTGGTTTCTAGCTCTGGCTGTGGACTTACATTACCCTGATATTATTAGCTGCCCTGGCCAGCAAAATGTACCAGGGAAAGGCTGAGGGCTAGCCTCTAGTCTGCTCAATCACCTGGAGTTTGCAGGGTAAAGGGATGTGTGAGAGATAAGGCAGAGGCTGGACAGTCCCAGGTACCACAGAAGCACATTCATCACTTTTGCTTCCTCTTACAACACCTGACATGCCTCCCCCCCCCCCCCCGTGAGGGATTCATGTTTAAACCCTCAGAGGAAGGCAGCTTTAAGAGGAGGCAGTCTCCCTAGGTGCAATCTACCAGCCCTGGTGTCTGGAGGGGGAGAGGTAGAGGACTGATGGCCTCTGGCTGTCTATTTATTTCCCCATCAGGGATCTTGCTGCCCTGATACTAGCCCCCTAGATACCTGTACCAGTGGTTTGGATCATTTCTGCAGAGAGGGGAGCAGACAGGGACCTCCCCAAGGCAATACGGGGGAGAGGTAAGAACCAGAACTTAAATCTCTTCTTCCCTTGTCTACCCTCTATCTGCTGCCTGCAACCATCTGCCCCTCAAAACACACACCAGTTAAAGACAGCCTTCCATTTCTCCATGGGTCTATCAGAGCTCTGCTGCAGTTTCTGGAACCCATGTTTTCCTCTGTAGTTTCTCCAGGCAAGGGAATCAGCAGCTTGTACTGTTTGTCATCGTGGCAGGAACCAGAAGCCCCAAGTATCCTAGAGGAATAATAGGTTTCTGCTCTTCAGCATATCTGAGCCTCCTATTCATAGAAAGGACTTTTCTGGCCTTCAGAAGCCCCAAGCCACCATCCACAGAATTGACTTGTCTGGCTCTTAAAATATCTGAGCTCATTAATTACAGAATGCATCCCAGAGATGTCAGCTGGTTACTGACAAAAGGTACATTTGAGATACTCAGAGGGCCAGACACCTCCATATTTTAGATGGCCCTTGGAGGAGTCTCAGCCCCTTAACCACAGAATGCACTTGTGAGACCCACAGTGTTTGAGCACCCTAGACACACAGTCAGCTTCCCCTCCAATACTGGGGGTGGTGGTGGCAGGAGCCTTTTAAGAGGCATTCCCCAGCTTTGTATGACATTCTTGGAGGACACAGATGAGAGGATGGCTGCCTTGATGCCCCCTCATCTCTGGCAGCATTGCCTAGGTGCAGTGACTTCTGGCCAGAACCTGGCACAGTCTACAGCCATACCACCCTGAACATTCCCATCATGTCTGATCCCAGGAGCTAAGCAAGATTGGGCCTGGTTAGTACCTGGATGGGAGAACCTGGCATGGCTAGGCCATGATGTGAGGACCCCAGTTACCCCAGCTGCCATCTGCCAGGTCCTTTGTGGAGACTAGCACCTGGCCTGTGAGAGAATCCTACCTTCTGAGAAGGTCAGTGAGCAAAAGGACCTTCTTTTGATCATTACCCTCCAAATAAGTAGGTGACTTCTTTTAGGGTCTGATGTTTGTCCACATTAGTGGGATGGAAGAGGCAAATAAATGGTTAATATTGCTGAAATGATTAAGACAGGTACCCATGAGCTGGAAATCTAGTTCAGGGACCTAGGTATGGCAAAGCCATGGACCCTCAAGCTGGCTCCAAAGCAAGTGGCATGAATAGGAACCTTAGACTCCTGCCCGGAGCTGCCAGCATTGGTGCATAAGACTCACAGAGAAGGGTCTAGATCCTAGAAATGGTGACATGTGGTATGTTGGAGATAGCTGGCCCAACATTTCTAAGTGGCCTGTACTTCCCAATCTTGGTAATGAATCTTGCCCTGTTTTGAGCCAACAACTCTCTCTCATCTCTCATTCAGAGGCCCATCCTGAAAACATACATTCACAGCCATAAGACAGACTCTTACAGGCAGACGGATATACCAAAAAACAGACTCAGGCCTTCCTCAAGCAGTCCCTGACTTGGGCTCACCTTCTAGAACCGATTTTCAGTATCCACTCTCCCCACCACTGGGGAAGCGAGAGCTGCTTTACACCAAGTGAAATATTTCAGCTCCATCAGGTAAAGAGCCCTTGGGGACTCCATCTACAGCAAAAACCAGAGAGGGAGCAGAGAAATACACAGACAACAGTGACCTTCATGTGTGCAAAGTATAGTTAAAAACAAAACAAAAACAGAAAAAAAAGGCTGTGGCCTCTAGGGGGCAGTGCTGAAGCAAAACCCCACACACTCTGACCTGGGGAAAAAGGGCCCCACACTCCAACAGGTCTAGGGGCTGGCAGGCAGGGAGGTGGGGTCTCATGTGTAGTCCCTCAGGGCAAAGAATGGATACCTGGTGGGGGGCTGATGGTGGGCTGGAGAGGTTTAATCAAGACGGGGCTGTGGCCTCAGCCCCCTCCTCCGAGTCCCACATCTCTGACTGCAGGTAATCAGCGAAGAGAGCCTTGGCCCTGCGCAGGACGCGCCCCAGGTGGTGTTTTCGCACAAGGCGGTCAAAGTGCATGGCCAGCTCATTGTAATCTAGCCCGTTGCGCATGATGTGGTCACGGTGCTCCAGCAGGATGGCCAGGCAGAGGAAGAGCATGAATGGGTTCCCTCGGCCAAACTCCTGGGGTGGAGGCAGGCCCACTGGGGGTGGGGGTCGCAGGGACTTCCCAAGGTCTCTTGGGGAGCCTACCTCTTGCATCAAGGGGGATCCTACAGCCATGTCGCCAGTGGGAGAGGCCTCCTGGGTAGATGGTGGAGATGAGGAGGATGGGGAATTGGGGTGGGAAAAGGAGGAGAGAAGTGGGTCTGGGGAGTTAAGCAAGGGCTCAGAGAGGGACTTGGAGCTGATGAGGGCAGCTGGGCGAGGCAGCTGGACCAGAGGGTCCCTCCTGGGGCCCATGTTATCCCTGAGTTGCTGGAGCCCATCCAGGCTGGTTTGTCTCAGGAGACGCCCCCCACCACTAGGCCTCTGGCTGGGTATGGCCAAGTGGTCAACAGCATTTTCAAAAGCACTGCTTCCTCCACCAGCAGGCCTCAGCATGTGCCTCTGTCGCACAGGCCGCCCCCTGTGGCCACCAAAGCCATTGTCTTCCACTTGGCTGGGAGGTCCAACCAGCTCCACCTCATGTTCAGGAGGATCAGGGGGCAGTGAGCTCCAGGTGACCTCGAGCATGCGGAGGGCATCATCAAAGGCGAACTCACGCTTGAGCTCAAGCAGCAGCCAGCGATAACAGAAGAAGAGGTCATCAGCACCTGCTTCTTGCAGGTACCGGTAGAAGTCAGGGTCAGCATGTTGCAGCAGCAGTTTGAGGTGAGCAAACTTGGTGGCCATGGCACGGCCGTCAGGATGGAAATTGGCAGCCAGGCGCTTCATGATGCCACAAAAGCAGACGAAGGCATGGCCCTCATGGTCCATCACAGCGAGGATGGGTGAGGCAAGGTCACTCATGCCCTGGCAGTAGGACACCTGTGGGTGGGTAACAGCATAGGTGGTGAGCAGGTCGTGTAGTGCTCGCAGGTGTGGGCCATCCTCAGGCCCTGCATAATAAGGGTGGGCCCGGTCAGTGCGCAGTACATCCTTGAGGACCGTGCTTCGGATGAATTCCAGGTCCTCGGGGTTTGCTCGCTGGGCCCACTCACTCTTGAGCTGCTCATACTCGTGACTCTTGCGTTTCATGTAGTCCATCCGCTCTTGGCCTGTCAGTCCGTCTGGGTACACATTCAGCAGGTACCGCCACACCACCTGGCCAGGGATGAAAGGGATGAGGCTGAGGTTCTCCAGAGAAGCCACCACCCCCCAGTGTCAGTCAGTCACCACCTCCTAAAACCCTCTGGGCCTCTGTCTTTTTTCTGATAAATCTTCCTTCTCACCTCTGACTCCTAGCTGCTCCTGAAAGATAGCTTCCTGCCCTAGACTATCTCCATCCAGGACAATGTGGTTGACATGAGCTACTAATGATCACAAGAATGATGGAGCCAATGAGTGACTGCAGAAGCTCACCTTTCGCAGTGAGGGCTCCACACCACCATGATAGATCCGCAGGCGCAACTCTTCAGGGCGGGAGAGCTGGCCCTCATGGTTCAGGTATGTGTGAAACTCGGCATCACTCAGGGGTGGTTTGAAGGGCTTGACATCTTCCCCATAGGACCAGCTCAGTACCTGCTGGACTTTAGACAAGGTACGGCCCACCTATTCAGGAAGGAGGGAAGGAAGCCACTGGTCAGCTGGGCAGACTAGGGGAAGATGCCAACCAGCATGCTCAGAATCAGGGTGCCAGGTAGGCCCTGCCCTCCAACCATAGCTGGGCCCCCAGGGTCCCTGAAAACACCTGAGAGAGGATGGACTGTGTGAAGGGCAGGGCAGCAGTTGTCAGCGATGACCGTTTCTCAGCCAGCAACACGTCAGAGCCAATGACATCCTTGGGGCTGATTATGTCCCAATCTTCCAACAACGGGCCTGGGCACACAGAGTGAAGTGCTATGAGAACAGGGATAAGAACCCAGATCTCAGGGCCTGGCTCTTCTTCTACCAAAGCCAGGCTACCTGCAGGGCAACAAATGACTCTGACTCCCTCTTTCTATATCATTCAAATCATGTAAAAAAAAATCAAATCATGAACAACTCTGTAGTTAAGGTCTCACAAAATGGCTGGGCAGTCTCTAATACCTGAATGATATTAAGTAATATTTACTGAGTGCTTACTTACTATGTGCCAGGACAAGGGGTGAATATTAATATAAGAAATAATAATACTAGCTAACACTTCCATAGTGCTAAGTGCCACTGTTCTTAGCCCTTTGCAAATATTAGCTCTTTTTTTTTTTTTGGAGACGGAGTCTCAGTCTGTCACCTGGGCTAGAGTGCCGTGGCATCAGCCTAGCTCACAGCAACCTCAAACTCCTGGGCTCAAGCAAGCCTCCTACCTCAGCCTCTCCAGTAACTGGGACTATAAGTGTGCACCACCACACCTGGTTAATTTTTACTATTTTTAGTAGAGACAGTGTCTCACTCTTGCTGAGGCTGGTCTCGAACTCCTGAGCTCAAGTGATCTTCCTGCTTCAGCCTCCCAGAGTGCTAGGATTACAGGCATGAGCCACCACCACTGCGCCCAACCATTAACTCATTTAATAGTCACATCAATCCTATTGATTAGGCTCTACTGTTATTGTCACTCTATATATGAGGAAACAGGCACAGTCAGGATGAGATACTTGCCCAAGGCCCTATAGCTACTAAGTGAAAGAGCCAAAATTTGAAGTCCAGGCTCAAAGCTTGAGAGGCCAAACTCCTACTCTCATATTCATGCGAGTCTTCCTCCTGCAAATGGTAGAGACAAACCTTACCATTCTAATTTTACAGAAAATGGCAAAAAGGTTTGGGACAAATAGTAAGTGACCAAGATCCTACAGTTAGGTAGGGCTAGGATCTAAACCTCATTTACCTTACTGAAGAGCCCAGACAAATTTTAGAAAAAGTATTGTGGAACAAGTATGCCATGTATGTTAGACAAATGAAACAATGTTATGCTTGACTTTCTCTGGTTCTGGCCCTTGAAACATCAGAAGTCTATCCTTTCTCTCTTTTTCACTTCCTCTCACAGCCCTTCTTGCCACCTCACATATCATGTGGCAGCTGAAGCACCAGTGGCCACCTGAAGGTAAGTTCAAGAGAGTCTTGGGAGATGTCAGCTCTGATGCCAGAGGGCTGCTAAGCCTGCAGCAGCAATGTCCAGTGGCCAACTTTCAAACTCCATTGTAGGAAATAAATCAACTTCTATCTGTTTTATTTTTATTTTTATTTTTGAGACAGAGTCTCACTCTGTTGCCCTGGCTAGAGTGCCATGCCTTCAGCCTAGCTCACAGCAACCTCAAACTCCTGGGCTCAAGCAATCCTCCTGCCTCAGCCTCCCAAGTAGCTGGGACTACAGGCATGTGCCACTGTGCTTGGCTAATTTTTTCTATATATTTGTAGTTGCCAATTAATTTATTTTTATTTTTAGTAGAGATGGGGTCTCGCTTTTGCTCAGGCTGGTTTCCAACTCCTGACCTTGAGCGATCCTCCTGCCTCAGCCTCCCAGAGTACTAGGATTACAGGTGTGATCATCTATCTGTTTAAGCCACTGCCATGTACAGGCAAATGCCAGTCTGAAGCAGCATTTCCATGGAATCCACTGCACTTTTTCCCACAGAGCTTAAGGGAAAACAAAATCTAAGCCATGTCTAGATGTCACTGCTTCTCCCTGGATGTCTCACAGGGCACTGCAAACCTAAGGAGTGCAAAAGGGGAGCCCGAAATCCATTCTAGAAATGACTTCCTCCTCTGCTCCTCATCTAAATCAAGAACATCTCTATCTGTTCAATTGCTTAATAAGCCAGAAACTTGAGAGGCAACATTTCCCCTCCCACTTTCTCAACCCTTGGGTCCAAACCATCTCAAAGACCTGTGGCTTCTGCAGGCAAAACCTTCAATTCCCCCTCTTCTCTCATCTCCACCTTGTCACCCTGTCCAAGCTACCACATCTCTCAATTGAAACTGACTCCTAACCAGTCCTCACTTCCTCTCTGTTCCTTTCCAATGTTTCACAATAGCTTCCAGAGTAGTCTTTCTAAAACATTGATCAGAGCATTAAAACACTTAATGGGGCCAGGCGCGGTGGCTCACGCCTGTAATCCTAGCACTCTGGGAGACCGAGGCGGGAGGATCGCTCGAGCTCAGGAGTTCGAGATCAGCCTGAGCAAGAGCAAGACCCCGTCTCTACTAAAAATAGAAAGAAATTAATTGGCCAACTAAAAATATATAGAAAAAATTAGCCGGGCATGGTAGCATATGCCTGTAGTCCCAGCTACTCGGGAGGCAGAGGCAGGAGGATCGCTTGAACCCAGGAGTTTGAGGTTGCTGTGAGCTAGGCTGACGCCACGGCACTCTAGCCCGGGCAATAGAGTAAGACTTTGTCTCAAAAATAAAAATAAAAAAACCAAAAAATCACTTAATGAGTAAAATGAAGATGGTCATATTGCTGAAAATCAAATGAATGGTCTGAAGGCACGGAGCTAAGGCTTGATGATTAGAGTGAAAAAGTGGAGAGACCTGGAGGGCAAGTCTAGGAGACTTAATAAGCAAATATTAGGAAATGGAAAGGGAGAAAAGGGATTAGGTGGAGACGTTAGAATTAAACAGGTATGAAGGAAAATTTCCCTGAGATGAAGAAATGGCTCTGGCTCACCAAGTCTTAGATAGCATTAATTAACAAACAGACTTACAATAAGCCTCCTCCACCTCTATTCATAGCTGGCGAAATGCCCAAATTCTAAGAATGAAAAACACTTGTCAGCTTCCAAAGACAAAGAACAGGCTGCTTACAATGGAAAGAAGGTCAGATTGTCAATGGACTTCTGCTCCACAATCCTGGAAGCAAGATGGTGGCTCATGGCTCCTATGGAGCACTGAGAAGGAAGGCCTGAGATCCAAGCCAAGAGCCCCACACCCAGCCAAGACAGTACATATCTATTCAGCCAAAGAAAAATGTTTTTTTGTTTGGCGTTGTTGTTTTTTTTTTTTTTTTTGAGACAGAGGTCTCACTTGTTGCCCAGGCTCAAGATGTGAGTGCGCCGTCGTAGCCTGGCTCACAGCAACCCAAATCCCTGGCTCAGGTCGACCTACTGCCTAAGCCTCCCAATAGCTGGGTATCTACAGGCATGCGCCAGCCATGCCGGCTTATTTTGGTTTATATATATTTTAGGGTGTCATTAATTTCTCTATTGTTTGGTGAGAGACGGGGTCTCGCTCGTAGGCTGGTTCGAACTCCTGACCCTTGAGATGCCTGCCCGCCCTCGGCCCCCAAAGTGCTAATTACAGGTGGCCACGCCCGCTGTTGTTGGTTTTTTTTTTTTTTTTTTTGAGAAGAGTCTCGCTTGTTGCCCAGGCTAGAGTGATCCGCGTCAGCCCCTAGCGCACATCAACCTCAAACTCTGCTCAAGCAATCCTGCTGCTGCACCTCCCAAGTAGCTGGGATACAGCATCGGCCACCATTCCGCTAATGTTTATTGATATAAAGTATTTAGTGGCAAGATTAATCTTTATATGAGGAGAGGACGGGTCGCGGCGCGTGTCAGGTGTTATGCGGAACCCGACCTCGAGCGAATCCGCCGCCGTCAGCCTCCAGAGGTAGGACAGGCGGGAGCACGCGCCGCTGGTTTGTTGGTTTTAAGAGACAGAGCTGTGCTCTGTTGCAGGCGGGAGAGGCGAGTGGGTGATCACAGCTCAGCTTCACCTGAGATGCCTGGCTCAATGATCGCCTGCCGCAGCGTCAGCAAGGTGAGCTGGATAACAGGGACACAACCGATCCCTAGCTATTTTCTATTTTTTGTAAAACAAAGTCCGTTGGGCCCAAGGTGATCGCTCTTTGCCGTGGCCTCAACAAAGCTGGGGAGTGATGAATGTGAGGCAGCGGGATGGACCTGCAAAAACGATTTTGACCGACTAGAGTACATCGTCGAACCCAGGTACCTTGTGAAGAGAGGACATGGAGAGATAACAAGAAGTCTCGTAAGCAAATGACTAGCGGGAAACTCCGAGGTCAGATAGAGGAAAGGCAAAGGAAAAGAGGGTTAGAAAGGTGTGTAGTACAAGGTGGTTTGTTAGAGACAGGGTCGTGGCTGCGGTCCGCGAGGCGAGCAGTGATCGAGCCTAGGGCGGGTACTAGGTACCTCGAAAACTCCTGGTCTCAAGCAAATCCTTCTGCCTGCAGCCTCTCAAGTAGCTGACCCGGGTATATCACATTGTGCAGCTGATTTTAAAAAGAGAATTTTTTTTTTTGAGACAGGGTCTTGCTATGTTGCAGGCTGGTGTCGAAACTCCGATCTGTAACTGATTATCCTGCCTAGCCTCCCATGCTGGTGACGAGAGCTGTGAGGGCCGACTGGTCCGAGCCTGTGTTGGAGAGTTATATATGTGCGTGAAACTGAAAGGATGACAACAGGGGAGGTAAGCTGATTTAGAAGTTAGGTAGTATGGTGTTACGACTATGACGTTAAAGAACGGATAGGAGTGATTTAGGTATGTCAGTTAGGAAATAGTGAGATGGTAGCCGAAATTTTAAAAAAAAGAAAAAATTAAAGGCTAAGCAAAACCCAAGTTAATGGATTAGCGCGTGGTGGAGGCGTGAGCGGGGCGAGGTGTCAAGTCAGAGTTCGAAACCAGCGCTGGAGCAAAGCGAGAACCGCGTCGGTCTAGATAAATAAAAGAAGATTAATGGCCAACTGAAAGGTATATAAAAAAATTAGTCCGCATGGTGGACGATGCTGGTAGCCAAGCTTACTTGGAGGCGACGGGGCAGAAGGATTACTTGAGGCCAAGAGTAGGTTGCTGTGAGCTACGACGCGATGGCACGTCACTCAGCCTAGGCAAACAAAGTGAGACTCTGTGCTCGTCAAAAAAAAAAAAAAAAAAATAAAAAGATAGCAATCAGAGAAAGAATG